TATATATGTATATATATAAACTATGTTGCTATAGTTGTTTCCCTAGATGGTCTTTTTTTCTATCTGGATGTCTGTGATTTTCTTCTACAAAAACTTATGCCAGGAGAAAACCAGACTGAATTAATCAGTTTCCTCAGTGCCTCAGTCATGAAGATCCATGTCCCTTGGTGCTGCCTTAAAACATCCCTACAGTGACTCATCCACCACAAACCTGGTGTCCCTGTCCTGCTGCTCAGTCGTGGGCCCTGCAGCAGGTTGGGATCATGCTCCACAGCTCAGCAGTAAAGTAACTAAAGCTTCCAGTGTCCTGCTAACAGAGTGTCACCCAAGCATAATCCAGGCCCTGACTCAAATTGACAAGGACAGGTTGGCCTCTGACATAATCTCTTTAAATAGCATCAGCCCTCTCTCTCTAAGACACTTCAGCCCCTCAGCCAGCGCAGAGCTGCTTACGGCACGTCGCCCGCTATTTCCACCCAGGCAGTGCAGGGCTGACATTTCTCCCAAGTGTGTCCCCTGTCAGCAGTCTCCAGCTCTACTTTGCACCAGGAATTACAATGTATTTTGCAGCACAGTTTCTCTACTTCAGGGTGTTAAAAAACAGAAGTCCCAGGAACCGCATCAAGGAAGATGAAGACTACGACCCTTTCTGGCAAAGGTTGGAGAATATTGCTGTCTGACTTAGAGCTAGAGTGCTCCTTTATCCCCCTCAGGGGTCATGGTCAGCCCTCGGGGTCCCCCCAGGGCCAGGCCTATGGACATGACAACCCCTGGACCCCTCCTGCCTCCTTATGGTGTCGTAGTTGGAGTTTTGCTTCACCTCGTTGTTTATTTAGTCGCTGTGCTATATAGGTAATGCTTTCTTTTTCCTTTTCTTCCTTTCTAAAAAAATTCAAACCAGGAAATTGTTTGTAATTTTCCAATATCTGCCAGGGTTCTGTGTGTATGAGTTGCTCTCGGAGTTATCCACTGAAAGAAATGGAGATTCGAATACTTTAAGTCTGTGAAGTTCAGTGTTTTAATTTCTTCATGAGTATCATATCAGAAATTATCCTAGGCAGGACAATGAACTGCTGAAAATTTATCTTGGGATAGCCTGTGTCAGATCCTGTTATTACAGCTGTTCTGTGGTTGTATTTGTTATGGTGCTTATGGTAATCTTGAATTCCTGTTTTCAGGCTTGGATGGTGCAGATGGAATTTAAGAGTTGTCTAGTGCCCTTGTAGCATGAGATGAGGATGTGCACCCACATGACATGGTTGTGTTGTGCAACCTCCTTCTTAACGTTTCCCATAGTTGTTTTCTCCCCTGATTTTATTATCTGGACACCACTAGCATGATAACTACCTGGATTTCTCAGGTGTGGTACAAACAAGGGACAATTCTAATTTCCTTTATCCTCCCAATAGTCGCAGATGTTGCTAACATTTAAAGCATAAATCGTTTCAGTGGGCTTAATGCAGTTAATAAACCTTCATGGAACACCAAAGGGGAAGACAAGATCCCAGTTTTGCACAGCAAAAAATGTCTTGTGCAAAGTCACACAAGGTGTGACCCTTGTGCAACGAACTGCAAATCTTAAACCAGTCCTTGCATCGCAGGACCACTCTTTACTCTAGTTTGGGTTGTGCTATTTGCCCTTTTTTACAAGTGAATTACGGAGACCTGTTACTCACCAGAAAACCTTTAAACTCAGAACACATTCACTTAGGAAAAAAGGTTTCATTACTTGAAGAGTTTTAACTGCCAAAGTGTGTGCAGTGTTTGATGTTGATCATTTGACATTCACAGCTGTGAATGTCCTGTAAGAACTTTTGAGAGGGTTGGGTCTATTCGAGGGACAGTTGGTTACCTCTGCTTCAACACCTTTCATGAGGGGTGACCCGAGTTGTTCTTGCTTTCAGATTACTTTTTCTAATGTTACATATTTAGCAGCTGACACCCAGTTGCCATTGCCAGCAGTAAGCAATGACATTTACGCAGTGTGTACAGAAGACTGGCAATAGATGACCACAGATAAAGGCAGATATAGTGCTAGGCTATATAGGCTAGGTTCAGTCTCAGGCTCTGGTAAATCTGACTTACTGCAAGTAAAGAGATTTTGTCAGAAGTGATAATGCAGCTTGGTTGTTCCCTGTATGAGCCTGAGCTTTCTTTGTATTTGTCGCTGGTGACGTATCACAGTTTTGTCAGACCTGTATACAGTGAATAGAGCTACAAATGCTGCTCAGTCTCAAGGCTTGATTATTATGTACCTATCTGTGCTGGATGGTCACAGTGCACACACTTTTGTCATACAGGCTAGCAACTAAGCCCTGATCTCTTTGTCTTTAAGACACTCTGATAAGTAGCCCAGCTACGAACTTCCTGCGGAAGTCTTAGACAAGTCCCTCGATCTGTCTATGCCCCAGTTTCTATCAATACAGTTGAGCTAATATTTGCTGAATTTGTACTTCTGTTTAGGGCAAGATGTTGGTGATTTTTATGTGATTTAGGAACAATCACTTTGCGTAGGGTTTGAATACGTGAATGTCAGACATGCATTTTAAATTTCCATCCTGTATGTGCCACTAGTTGGAGGGATAGCCTCAAATGGGTGTTTCTAAATACTACACAAAATAAGTAAAGTTTGAGTGCAGTATTGCCTTAGATCTGTTTTAACAGCATCATCAGAGAGATCTAGCATGCTCCATCCCCATGCCTGTGGGAGTATACATGTCATCCTATAGTGGTGGGCAGGGCACTCATGCACTGCTGTAGCCTAGAATTACTGCCAGTGAAGATGACCTCCATTACAACGCTTCTTGCCACTTTTATCTCAGCAAGTCTCAATTTTTCTACCATTTCTCTCTCATAAATTCTCAAACTTGCACAAGCTGCTGAGATGTGTTTAAAAAGTGCTGCTATTGCAGAATTTGAATGTGTTTGGAGCAGGGGGAAAAGGTAGAAGGGGAGTTGAGGTAGAACAGGAATATTCAGGAGCTATTGGATAAGGGGATTGCAACAAATGAGGAAGGTATCAGAGGGGTGTGGAAGGCTCAGGCACCCAGAAGGGTCAGAGGAGACAGCGCTGGGACATGGAATTAGAAGGATTAATGAAGCTGGGGAATTTCTGGGTAAAACGGATTTGGATGAGGGAAAGGGCCCTCTCTGTCATATCCTGGGATTACCCATTTCTCACTCCTTTGGGAGGAGATCCCAGCCCCAGTCACATTGCAGTCATAAACTGAGCAGACTGCTAACTGCAGCAGGCTGCTCCCCCTGCCTCACCCCTATACATGACCCATCTCTGCTCAGCACTTTGAGGAACGAGTCAGAAGTGACTTTAAAGGGACCACCTTTTCTGTAATTAGTAGGTATAAGATCTGAGCCCTTTTATCCAGAAAGCAGATGACATGTCTAAAGCTGTATCTTACCAATATTGGTCAGTGTGCTCCAGGAAGGTGTTCAGGGAGCCAGAAGATGATGGCAGCATATGGTATGAGCTTTAGAAATCCCTACACCCAAAATATTAAAAAAGAATTACATTAAAAAGTCCACATCTAGAGAACATGTGCATGTGTTTGCTGATGAGTTAATTACAGGCTGGCCCCTGTTCACTGGAATGGGTTGAAGGGGTATTTCAGCTCAACATTTTGCCACTGGTCAGCTCAAGTTAGGCATTGGAGTGGAAAATTCTTGTCGTGACACAGGTCTATAGAGATGCTAAAATGCTCTACAGAACTTGTACCATACTGTCAGTCCCTCTTAAAGGTGAATGTGTATCACTGTGAATGCAGCTGATAAAAACTGCTGTAGAAAAGACAACAAAATGGTGAGTTTTCAGTCTTATACTAAAATTTATTTCCGTATGTGACACTTGAATTTCCATCTGTGAAGCAGTACAGTAGCATGAGAATGTTTGTCCATAATCCCAATTTCCTTTCTGCCTCAAAACATATTGTTGTGACTCATTTTGAAAGAGGTGTAAAAGCTGCCAAATGGTCCAAATGTTGACATTGGGTACATCTGCAACCAAAATGGCAACACTGGGCCAAGCCAAAGAGCAGTTAGCTCTATGTTTTCTTTCCAGTGGTGGCCAGTAACAGGAGCTGGGAGGAAAATAAAAGTCACTTCAGATGCTTTCTTTCATATACTTTTATGGAGTCTGTGTAGGAAGTGCTTAGGGGCTTCCTGAATCACAGATTGATTCTCAAATGTTGTGTTTATTGGTCATTACTTTCATACAGTTGCACAATTTTTTTGAAGCCCATTTGTATTGTTGTCCTTCACAGAGTACTCAGACAATGAGTTCTGTAATAATTTTCTTTAAGAAGACAACTTTTAAGTTTTCTACCTGATACTTTCATATGATCTCCCACTAACATTTATACTGGGAGAATCAGAGACTAATCCCTCACAATTTGCTATTCCCTGGATGTCTGTGACCTTGCAGGTTTTTTTCTCCTTCAGTTTTGGAAGTTGAAGAGATCCAGTACATCAGTTTAATCTGTTTCATGGATCCTGAGGGAGGCAATCTGCAGGTGCTTCACTAGATGAGGACATCATTGCAGGGTAGCCATGTGGGCACTTCTTTCTCTGTGTAACAAAGGCAACGTTTTTGGTCTTTAAGTATAGTATGCATTACTGGTTTTTATCCCCCCAAAATTATTTTTACTGGTTTCATTATTTTCTTAGTTTATTTATATTACTATTTTTCCAAATTTGTTTTTCTTGGTGCTGTTTAAGTTGATGAAAATTATCAGTATGTTACAAAAACCCAAACTGGGAATAGAAAAATTATTCATTCCAAATTGCTGCTTTTTATCATTCTCAAAACACATTTCAGTACACACTGTCTTTGCTTTGACTTTGAGAATTTAAAATATGTAAAGCTGCCTGCTTAAAGAAATGATATTTTTTCCCATTCCTTAATTATTTATGGAATGTCTGCATATGGATGTTCTCTTTTTTTTTTTCAGTTATGCTGAGCAGCTGTTCTTGAAAAAGTAGGTTTATAAACTGTATTTTCATGTTTGCTTTTACTAATCACTTTAAAGGTAAAATGTTGTAATTTATAACCGTATAACTAAGCCTGACAGCTGGGTATTTGTTTTATGGCTGGAAATAAACAGACTTTTTAATGAAAACTTTCCTAGACAAACTCCAAAAAAGGAAAAGTGATCTATTTGAAAGGAGCAATGTTTCATTATGCTGGGGTTTGTATTTATATTGGCTCAAATCTTCATCTGGTGGGCATGATTGCTGGAATAGGGGTTATATTTTGTTACTGTGCATGAGAAGTCACATGTTTTCTTCTTGTGAGCACTTGCATGCTTTGCTGTCTGCTTTGGCTGTTCCTGCAACAGAAATCCATACAGAGGTGATTTGCTCCAAGGAAACAAACTGCTTTTGAGGCAAGAAATGTATTTGATCCAATAGGGTCATTACTTGCCTATTTGTGATGTGTTATCAAATCTCAGCCCACTGTTTACCTTGGGAGTTTAAGACCTCTGTGAGGTTCTGTGGCACACTCAGGGCTCAGTATGGAAAAATGTCATTTGCTAATGCAAATGACAGATATGGGTGTAGAAAAAGAATAAAAATTAATCTGAAATAAATACATACAATACATAGATATACAATAGCATGATGATATTCATTTGGTAAAAAGGCTATTGACTTTTCTGATGCAAATAGTTGATAGTTTCCATATTAAATATTGAGATGGTAATACTTCAGATGGGCTTAAAACCTAGCTCAAGCTTGAAAATCCTATACATATTTTACAGCTATTTGACTTTTTTTCTTCTTTTCCAATACTTGTAAGGTGTTGTCTCCATCAGAGTCCTGATCAGATACTGTTCATGAGAGCAGTGCTGCACATCAAGGACCAAGAATCAGATTTACTTCCATCCTTTTTTCTGCCAAAAAAAGGAAATTTCAAGACTAGGGCAAAAAAATCGATATCTCAATTTGGACTTTCTATTCGCAGATGAAAATATTTGATGGCACTAGTGTGGCAAGACATTACCCTGTCACTTGTACTGTCTCAGAATCCTGTTTCATTGATGGACTTCTTGTGGTTACCTTTGGCTGGGTTTTTTATGGACTTCTTGTAGTTGATTGCAAGAGATTCAATGAAAAAGTATGATTTTTCTCCCATCTCAAATGCTAGTCAGTAAAAAATAATTGACCCACAAAACCTGCCAATTTTTGATCTGCCTCTTTATTTTTTTACCCTGCATATAAACCTTTTAACCCATTTCCGGTGTAAGAAATTTAATTCGTTGCTAATGCTTGCTAAACATTTTAGATAATATGTTCAGAAATAAGGCATATATATTGTTATCTTTCTGGAGTGGTTATGGGCTACTGTGATACAGAAAATATTTTTTTGGGAGGAAGAGGTAGGGAATGAACTTTAACATCACTGTGGCTGCTAAGATGCTGCTGCTGTTGTTTATGATGGGGGCTGACAAGTTCACAAGGAGACAACAGGATCTTATTCTCAGTTTTGCATTAAGCTAAATATGCACAAGAACTAACACTGGAAGCTTAACATCTTTGTGAATTGTTCCAGTGGAGCAGAAATGCAGAAAAGTATGGAATAAAGCTACTTGATAAGCTACTTGATTTGAAGGCAGAATATCTGCTGTTTGGGTGTATCAGCTTGAAGATACAGTATTCAGAAAATACTTTACATCACAAGTTTCAACATAAACCAGTTACAAATGTGTATATACCTTAATTATTTATCTTAGAAAATTAGTGTTGTCATTAATTTTGGAGAAAGAAGACCTTGCTACAAAAATTGTCTCATGTGAGGATATGCAGAATAACTGATGCTCATGGTATATTACTTGATTCAAATAATAAAACCCTTTATGTTGCCCATATTGTTGCATGAATTCCTCAGTGGAACTTTTGGAAGTGTAGTAGGAAGCAGAGCTACTGGCACAGATTATTGAGACCATTAAGAAAATGGATGACACTGCCCAGTGTGGGGCAATTTCTCAAAAAGAAACTGTTCCTAAATATTTAAACATTCTTTTTGGAAATTATTGCAAAGCATATTACAGTACTGATTGCTGCTGCAAAACTAGGGCAGCATTTACTTCAACCAGCCCTGCTGATGAATAACTGCATAACCCAAATTCAAACTAATTTGTGGAAAAGGTAAATATTTTTTTTGTTGTAGGTAATACTGAAATCTCTGACATAATTTAACATGTATGTTTTTTAGAAAACCCTTTCCACCAAATAAGTTAATATTGAGTTATGTAGAGGGATTTATATAATTTGTGTAATATGTACTGTAATCCCACAAACCAGGAGCGGGATCAGCTCAATATTGAGTTATGTAGAGGGATTTATATCATTTGTGTAATCTGTACTGTAGTCCCACAAACCAGGAGAGGGATCAGCTCTTTTTCAAATCACTGGTCTTCTGATTAATGCTGCTTTTTCCCCACATTCCTCTCTAAATTCCTTGATTTCCTAGAAATTTTGCATTTATTTGTTAGTAGGGCTGCAAAATCCTGCACTACAGTATATTGTTCCTTGTGACACTGTGGACCACAGAGTCAGGTAGTTGATGGTAGGAAAACTGGCAAATTTTTGTAGCAGTGTCATCTCTCCTAAATTCCTTGGAGTTGGAGGTTTGTGTGGCATCATAGTGCTGTCCTAATTACATGTGCTTTTATTTATGAAGTTCTAACAGATCAGGAGACCTAGTTGTTTGGCTCTGTAGTAGGATATAATTGTTACCCCTTATCAAAGGTGTACACCTTACCTGGTGTACAATCTAGGGACATTTGTTGCTGCTATTAATAATTTAAGGGAATGGTCTGCAGCAACTATTTGCCTTTTTTGAAAAAGATAGAGTTGCATACAGAAAATGCAATTCCAATTATTTCAGAATTTCCAGGACTGAACTAGCATCATTGTCGGTTGAGTACTGAACACTAAGGAAGGTCTGGCTGCCCAGACAGCACTGTACACTAAGGAAGGTCTGGCTGCCCAGACTGCACAGCTTATATATTTCTTATTATCTTGGGTATGACAGTTTCTCAGTTTGTCCATATGTCAGGTTATCTGGGGGTTTTCTAATGCATGGAAAGTTACAGTAGCTTTCAGTGCACCTGTAAGATAGGTAATACAACAGTAATAATTCAGTCTGTCTATTTGAGGCTTGTGTAATACAACAGTAATAATTCAGTCTGTCTGTTTGAGGTTTGTGAAGAGCAACTGAGATGTGCATCCTCCTTAAATGTTAAACGTTAGGCCTTTAATCATCCAAGCTTTCCTAACAAGTTTCTTTTATTTGTTTTTAGGGATGACAGTAGAATAACGAAACACAATGTCCCAGCACTTTGTGATCTTCACTGCTGTAAGGATGGGCCAGTAAGAAATGGCCATATTGGGCAGAAGCCACCCTCTATCAACCCTGAGAGACTGAAGGATTTTGGTGAGGAGGATTACCTGAATGGGGATGTGAAGACCTGGGAAATGAAGATAGTGAGCCGTAATGAGGAGTTACTTAGGGATGCCCTTTCCCGCATCCCGCAGCCAAGCAGTAGGAGCAGCCTGGCAAGCTGTAACAAGCTGATTCGATTTGAAGATATTAGTGCAGCAGCCTGCAAAATCCAGTGCGGTGTTCAGAAAACCCCCTGCATGGTAGGGAGTCTTTATGGCTTTGCATTCTCTCAATGTTTCTTTTCTTTTCTTGATGAAAGTTGATCAGAAATGAAGAAAGAGTATGTGACGATAGATCTGTGCAAGAAGACTCATTTTCATACTAGTCGCATTTAACTGTCAATAATAATTTTCTTCTTACCAGTTTGCACTAACCTTAATCCTCAAAGATTGCAGCAACCTGTAAACAAAGGATAAACCACCTTAGGCATAGACTTATTGCATTGTGGTATTATGTTCTCAGTGAAAAACTCTTGCTGCAATGAGCCTGAGTTGGAGATGGCAGACTGCTGGTGTGTGAGTAAACAATCTTGTGGAAGGGTCTGTTCTGGAACTAGTCCTCATATTTGGAGAGTCTGAAGGTGCAGATTTCCCTTCTCAGCCTGGCCAGCTGGATATGTTTTGTAGCCAGGTGGTTCTGCCACATGTGTCTTCAACAAAATGAGGACATTAAAATACGCACACACAAAAGCACCTGTCAGTTGGCCTAGGAATGAAAATGACTGACACTCCCATCAGTGTACAAGCATTTGCGAAAGCGTAAGAGTACAGTGGGAAGCTATTTAATTTGTTGTGTATTTCTACTGGTGGGAGCTCTTCAGGAAGGCTACTTTGGGCACTCTGTGGCTAATCTCTTTTCCCTTTGGTGGGTGAAAAGAGTGTCTTTGGCACATGGCAATTCTTAGCAGCAGACCCAAATCACTCTCTCTGTTGCTGACCAGAACAACCCCCAGCCTCACCAGGTGTAGATTGTCTTTCTGACCTGCACAGGGAAAGCATCTTGGAGTCTGAGTCCCTGCTTGGGGTTAGCAGCCCCTGGAGCAAAGTGGTTGGGTCTGCAAGGCACAACAGTTTTCCTAGTTCCCAGAAGGTGACTGCTGATCCAGAGACATCAGGCAGCTGTAAGGTGGCAGAAAAAAATTTGGCCAGAACCCAGAAAGTAAAACTGGATGCAGTTTGCATTCATATAGTGCCTGTTCAGAGTGACAGGAGTAAACAGTCCTGCCAGCTGTACCTGGATTTCCTTTCAGAGTGGAAGAGTTGGTTGCTTGGGAAGACAGAAACATATGTGCAGTGATTCCTTTCAGAGTGGAAGAGTTGGTTGCCTGGGAAGACAGAAACCTATGTGCAGTGGGGGTGGTTTGGGGTCAGCACCTGGGCAAACAGAGGGATCATACCAAACTCTGCACATTGCAGACATTGAACCTCTGCACAGTCAACATTGAAGTGTTGCACTGCCCTTCTCTGTATTTGACAGCTCTGGTCGTATTTGTTAGATGTATTTAATCTTGCTGTACAAAGATAGGTCTATGGACAGGGAGAATGAGAGTGTCATGGCTTAATTTGGAAAGCAGAACTAGCTAACTCTTTGTGCTTTGATAGCCTGGATCATCCATTCCCTGCAGCTCATGGCACTATGCATTTCTGCCAGACAGTTACAGGATTCTGCCTCTGTATTTCTGCCAGTGTGAGACTGTGAGAGCCTTGGCCAGTGAGCTGCTAAAGGGCCTCATTCACACCTTCAGCTCAGATGGATCAGACTAATAGCTCAAAACCAGTAAAGCCCATCTTGGTGCCATCCCTGCATCATCTTCTTGTTCCCAAGGTATGGGTCCCACTCTGAATATTAACCAACACATCCTAATGCAGAAAAGGGCAAGATTGCACCACAGAGACCAGCCATGCAGGTATCTGTGTGAAGTGAAACTCTTCATAAACTGACTGTGCTCCTGTTCACAAGTAGTTACACTTTCTTGGCCAGTTCACACTATTTGTTCTCAGACAGCTTTGCCCCTTGTGCTGGTCTTGGTTAGAGTTCATTTTCTTCACAGTATGCGAAGTGGTTTTGGACTTGTGATGAAAATATTGTTGATAATTCAGAGACGTTTTTGTTATTGCTGAGCAGCTCTTACAGAGTCAAGGTCTTTTCTGCTTCTCACCCCACCTCAGCAGTGAGAAGGCTGAGGGTGCACAAGGAGCTGGGAGGGGACACAGCTGAAACAGCTGACTCCAACTGACCCAAGGGACAGTCCATACCATATGACACCATGGTCAGCAACAAAATTAGGGGGAAAGTTGACTGGGGGCCTGATGCTCAGGGCCTGGCTGGGCATTGGTTGGTTGGTGGTGAGCAATTGTTTTCAATTGCATAATTTGTCTTTCTTGGGTCTTATTTATCTCTCTTTGTTATTTTCCTTTGAATTACATTATTGTTGTCATTGTCATAATTATTATTATTCTATTTCAATTATTAAACTGTTCTTATCTCAACCCATGAGTTTTCTCCCTTTTCCCCTTCCAATTCTCATCTCCTCCAGCAGGATGGTGGTGGGGAGGGAAATGAGCAAACACCTGGATGGTGTTTTGTTGCCAACTGGGGTTAAACCATGACACCCCTCAAATTAAATAGTTCTTTTCTGTTACATAATTATTATTATTCTATTTCAATTATTAAACTGTTCTTATCTCAACCCATGAGTTTTCTCCCTTTTCCCCTTCCAATTCTCATCTCCTCCAGCAGGATGGTGGTGGGGAGGGAAATGAGCAAACACCTGGATGGTGTTTTGTTGCCAACTGGGGTTAAACCATGACACCCCTCAAATTAAATAGTTCTTTTCTGTTACTCTGACTGGGGTTAAACCATGACACCCCTCAAGTTGAATAGTTCTTTTCTGTTGGGTGTCTCTGGAAGATTTATGCAACCCAGTTGTAATCCCTTTCTGTATTTAATGTGTCAGGCTAAACAGGATAACTTTCTTTATTCTCTTTTTATGAACTATGCTTCTTGAATGATCAGAATAGTGGAAAACATATATCCCCACTTGTTTTAATGTGAAAATAGCCCATGACTATTGTTATTCAAAGTAATAATTCAAAGTTCCTGCAGAACTCATAAGTACATATCATGAATTGATTCAAAAGCACAGAGTGGTGTCAAGAAAAATAGAGATAACCTTTACTTGAACTCATCATTGAGAGGTAAGAGTCCCTTTCAGGGACATTTGTTTAGGTTTAAAATTGAACATGACTGTAACCCATAACCCATACAATTAACTGAATGGAGAAACACTTTGCAGGATGATTCCTAACCTGCAGGTAAGACCATGGGTGGAGCATCCTTATGCAGGAGTTTACCTGAAGCTGAGATATGGCATCATGAGTGATTGCAACATGCCAAAGAGGCAGTGAGTGTAGGAAACACAGGAATTGGCATTAAATAGAACACCTGGCTTGGTTATTGATGTAGGGTCTTTCAGGTTTGTTTTATGTGAGCCCTGTGGATGCCAAATAGAGGATGTGCTGTGTGTTGTACATTAGACATGGTATCTGTAGTCCTTAGATAAGATCATGGTGACAAAAGGGAAAAATTATAGGCTGGTTCAATGAGTTTAACAAGGTCACCCATCAGGTCAGTACAGCTGAAAATAGTACTGACACCTGCTTTGTTAGAAGTAATTGTATATTTAGGCTACATGAAAAAAGCCTCAGTTAAAGGAAGCAAAAAAGGATAACCTAAAGAGTTAAAACATTGAGCATCAAAATTAAAGAAAAATAATCTGAAGTACACCACCTCTGTGGTAAACAGTGACTTAATGCATATTTTTAAATGTGGAAGATTTAGCAACTTTATAAATTCACAGGATTCTTTTCCTTCAATCCTTTTTTCTCATTGCTTACTCTAGAATCCAAGATTCTTTACAAAACCAAGTATGGTATGCAAAGAACTACTAGTGTTTCTTGCCTAGGGTTCTTGTTCTAATTTCCATAGGCATTCTCCATAGATTAGGCCGTTTAGGATATAAACTGTTATCCTATTAGTATACTAAGCACTTTCCATTGTTTCAGTTCTGCAGCCAGATTTGCAAAGGAGCAGCAAGTGGTAGCTTCTGTGGCAGGATTTTCAGGAACAAAATAGAGAATCTGGCCCCACCTATGGGTGAGGAACTTAACATCTGCTTGTAAATAGGCTGAAAAGACTTGTACCATTCACCTGAAATATTTAGTTTAACTGTATCCTTTAAAGCAAGTATCTGCTTCAGATATATTTAGTTCATATAAATTCACTTTGATAGTCCCCCAGACTGAAAAATATGTCTGTGCATATTACTATGTACAGTATACACTGTATGCATGACAGTGCCAAATACTGTTTGAGGCAAATATTTTGTGATACTGTCTTTTATTCTATATCCCTTTGCAACATCATAAATGAGGACTTGATCTCCTAAATCCCCAGGTCATCATTTGCTTTGTCAGCCAATAGAGGAAATGGAGTCAGTAATGGAGTAACAACAGAGCAAGCCTAGGGAGCTGGAACCCACAGGCTTACTGCAGCTCTATTTCATAAGTTGTCTTGTTTCAAACTCTTGGTTTAGTGAATCTAGTAATAGGAAATTAATATGTTGATGCATGCTGGGAGTGTCTCATTTTAAAACTTGACAAAGGTTTGCCACTAAAAAACCCCAAAATATCATGCACTTGGGCACTGCATCACATGTAATCTGCTTGCTAATTCCTCTCAGCTCAGGGATCCTTTCTGTTCCATACACTAACCTTTTTCAAACATCTGCTGCTTACACTTGCAATCCTGGGAAATAATTTTTTATTATTTTCATCATTCTTTGAGTGAGGAATGTCTTTACTAATGTTGTACAGGCCTTAGAATGCAAAACAGAACATTCAGTAGTGAATCAGTGGCAGAAAACATAGCAGAGCCATGATAGGGCTCAAGGAGGAATTTTCTGATGGCTTTTTTATCTATTAGATGATGACCTTATTTTTGGGTATTAAATACCCAGTTCTGGCGAGTGCTGGAAATGTGTTTTTTGAAATAATTGAAAATACTTATTTCAATATCTGTATTTGAACAGTAAGACCAAAATAAATGCTGCTTTCAGAATTCATAATAGCATATTATCAGTTATATATTCCATATTATCATAATGGTCCATATTTCACTGCTGTAAGTTTGAAAGTGACTCCCATAAACTATAAGAATCTAGTAGGTAGCAACACACTGTCATGTATTTCTAAAGAAACAGATGATGAAGTTTACTTTTTGGAGCTCATACATAGCAGGGGAATGCATGCCTCACCAGGCAGCTGATGGGGTGTGGAAGATTTTTCTTAATTTTAGACACATTCCCATAATATTATTTATATACTCCAGTATTCTAGGCTGTCCAAGCTGTATGGAATGGACATCTACCTGAAGAAGGAGTTCCTCCAGTACACAGGATCTGTGAAGGAACGAGGTGTGCTTTACCTTCTGACATCGTTGCCTCAGGTACAACAAAACATCAAAAAAATAGATTAGTTCTGCATCACAAAAATGGAGCAGAGTTGAAGATAATTTTGCCTGTAATCTCCATGGAATCACAGCATTTCTTGCCTTTTGAACCATTGTACTGAACACAGCATGTGTTCAGTATAGATAGGTCTCCAAGTATCTGGATGTAAAATACTGATTTTTTTTATAATTGGCTGATCTGCTGGGGAAATACCTAAAAGTATTTAAAAGAAAAGCTTGCAAAATGTAAACATCAGCATTTTCCTGTGGCATTTAGATGCAAGTGTTTTTATGTATACTGTGGTTCTGACATGTTGAAACCACCAAACTCATGAGTGATTATGAAATTGAATTGCAATAGGTGATGAAAAGAATCTAGATCAACAATTGATTTTGTAATGAATTTCAGTATTACGTGAATGACTTGTCATTAGGAGTCTCTGCAGCAATAATAGTTATAATTGGCATGATACAGCAGCCCAGAAGCAGTGGTTATGCCTGCACTTTTGTAATAATAGAAATTAAATCTTTTAAAAGGAAACCTGAAATTAAACCATTTCCCACAGGCAGGGAAGAGACATCTGCTCTTAGAGGCCAGATTGCAGCTCTTCTGAGATCAGCTGGAGTTTTGCAGCTAGTTACTCATAGGAGAGCAGGAACAGGGATTTATCTTATGCTGTCTTAGCTCTGTGTGTAAATCCTGAGATCACATCAGACATGCATATACTGTATCATAATATCATGATTCAGTCAGCGAGTAGAGGAAAAAATGGAAATCAGATCATTAGAATGATTCAGGATCATATGGGACAAACTATGTGACACTATACAATGTGCAATAAGCAACCCCTTTTTTTTTAGGATCAGCAAAGAAAAGGGGTGATCGTGGCTTCGGACAGTAACTTTTCCATGGCTGTTGCTTACCATGCCTCAGAGCTCCATATTCCAGTGTTTGTCATCATGTCAACCAGCACATCTCCAGCCAGAGTGAAAATGTGCCGTGAGTATGGTGCCATGGTTATATCCTATGGCACTACAGCTAAGGACTCCCAGATGCATGCAAGAAGGCTGGCACAGGAGAATGGTTACCTCTACCTCGAAGAGTAAGTGGAAAGTCAGACTGATTAGAAAGACCAGATTAGATGCTTGCCCAGCTCCACAAAAACAATTTTTCATTACAATGTGTTCACAGGTCATCAAAATGTTCCTCTTACCTGGAGCATGGACAGTTACATGTTCCCAGTCATGAATCTTTCTGTAACAGTTGGGGATGGAAATCAAAAAGAAACACTATTCTCTTACCCCAAATTAGGCAAACTTCCTGATTAGGAATTTCTCTGGGCTAGTGTGATAATTGATATATGCTAATTCTTTAGGAACCCTACCTGAAAGCATTAAGACTAGTGTTCAGTTTTGGTCTCCCTGTTTGGAGTTAGGTGTGTAAAAGTTAATATTTAATGCAAAGGGTTCAGTGGTATAATGTAGAGCAAGAGAAGGTTAATACTGTAAAATTTTTGCATATCTGGTGTGAGTGATGAAGCTGTGATTCTGCCTTGAAAAAAAGATAATTATGAGGCTACTTCATACATATATTTAAAGTAGATAAGGATAAGCATAAATCTAAATTTTAACTATTTGAGGTCACTGGACAAGCCAGATCTAATAAACCCACAATTAGAATGAGATAAGATAGGCAAAAAATATTTAGAACTGATGCATTTTCCTTTTTTTCTTTTCTGTCTGCAGTCTCTTCCATCTTTCCTTTTCCTTTTTCTTTTTCTTTCTTTTTTCTTTTAGCTTTCTTGAAGTAAGCATTCCTAAAGCACAGAGGAGTGAATTATTAAGATGAGGTAGCCAGCAGTCCCTCTGATGTTATTCTCCCCCACCATCACTGCCTCTGTGTTTGTATGGCATCTCCTGCAGTGAGTGCCTGTTCTCCTTTGCTCCTAGGTACTGCTGTCTTAAACACAGTCATAATGAGTCATGTTGCTTGGAAAGAGGATCCCAGAATGAGCACAACAGAGGAAGTCCTCACTTCTTTCCCAGTTGGTGTATTGGGAAGGCAATATTAAAAACTGTTCTGTACTGTTCAACTGTGCTAGCTCTGCTGGCAGTCAGTGACATGCAGGGGCTGCTTTGTGTGCCTTGTCTATCATCATGGGCACAGTCTTATCCCAGAGTGGGACTTTCAAAGAAACCCAGGGGAATATGGTGCCCTAGATCCCAATGAATTTAAAATCCTTTCAGGCTCCTTTGGAAACCACAGCTTTCCATAACTTTGTGATTTCCAAATTTCTGTCAGCCATTTTTCAATGGATGTGTTATCTCCCAGCTGGCTTGCATCAGCTGTCACACTTGCACATAAGAACTAAATTATTTTATTGTCATTTCGTATTTAACCTTCCCCTCCTCCCCAAATAATTATTCATGTTACATAAGGTAGATATTCTCCAGGTTGATGAAGCTCCAGGGATGACAAGTGTGAAGGACTTCAGCATCTAGCCTTGAGGAACTCTGAATGTACATACTACCATTAATAATATTAAAGGACTCTGATTCATTTCATGTTTCAGTTTACAAGAAACAGAGTTGTTAAATTTGTTACTATGTTTAATTAAAACCTTGCAGATGCAATTTTTCACACCCTGGTGAAAAAAAAATAGGAAAACCCTCCAACTATGATCGTGAGTCTTTTCATAATGGGATGGCTGAAACATATTTGGTTAGGTATAGACTAGGAGAGATTCCTAGAGAAATGTATGCCTATATGGCTAGCCAATGTGTCTGACACACTTTCTTCATCACTGGCCAAAACTGCCTGTAAAACATCAGCTGATTTCCCTTGCTTTAGAACAAAACCTCTGAAATGTCTTTTTACTTCAGTTTAATTCTAGCTTGCATAAAATCCCTAGCAATTTGGTCTCTGAATCTCCCTAACCAGTAATTCATTCTTCCCTTCCTGAAATAGACATTACATGACTGTCTTTGGCTGTACCTGCATGGGCAGTGTGCTGTAACTGGGAGTGTCGTTGTCAGTTCTTCCCATTTTTTGAGTGCAATTAAAATTCTGCGCTATGAAAATGACCATGCAAAAGTTCAATTAGAGGAAGAGAACACTTTATCCAACTGCAACTTCCTGTGAAATTCCAGGCAGGAAACGTGATTTTTAAATTTGGAATTCAGTCATTAAGTCTCCCTAATTGCTGCCTAGGTGACATGAAATTTTTAATAACTATAGGGGTTCAGGACCTCATTATAAATATAATGTGACTATTGCCAGTCATATTATCTCTTGGCACTTTATGTGCCAGTAACACAGCATCTCTGGGGTGATGTGAGAAAGATTCCTTTGTGAATCAGTGAATCACAGAATCTGTGCTGCAGATTGAATTACACACCTTCCTTCCTTAAGAATCCATTTTATTCTTGTGTAACTCCATGTCCAAATGCTGATCAGACCTGATTATTTGTGATCTGGTTGGTTTGTTACACTAGCTGATAGCTTCTGAGCCCTTAATTTGGAGCAGATGGGAACAGAGCCTTCTAGCTGCCCTGACAAAATTTCATTGAAAAACTGAAGCCTGACAGCCCATCTTTGATTGCTGATGTATCACACATTTCAGAAGGCAAATAGCCAAATTTCTATCTCTGCCTCAAAAATGATTGTTTAATCTACAGTATTTAGATTTAACTGCCCTTTCCCTCCATTTTCCTTCACTGAGAAATAATACTCTAAGAGATATGTTTGATTTCACAAGGCAAAAGTAAGCAGTTACAGTGCAATAAAAACCACCTGTTTCATTTTAAAAGCTGCAAGCTGACCAGTGAACTGGTGTATTGACTGGATGTTAGCAAGGAAAACATGATTATCTGAAATATTGATTCACTGCTAATAGCTCTCCATTCCCAGAGCAGTCTCCTTTGGACACAGTTTTCAGTTGTTAGAAAAGTTTTACTTGTAAATTGGATATCCCAGGTCCTCATTAATTTTTGCAGTAGCTCCACAAACTGAGTTCTGAATCTTATTTGGGAATAATGCTCCAGAATTGTTCAGACCAGTGATGTATTTTGTCACAAAGAAGAGAAAGCTCCTTCAGTATCTTGACAAAGACAATAAATTCAAGGGTTCAGTTACCCATCCCACTATGACTTCTTACCTTTCTCTTTAGCTGTGCTACAGGAGTTAAAGTTCCTGTGTAGTTATATGGACTCTTGCCTGAGGAATTTTCTATGTTTTGATATATATATATATATATATATGAAGCAACTTCTTAAGGGCCTTGGTCTCCACCTTTTAGGCATTCTGTGCTCCTGAGCTGAGCCTCTCTGTGCATGTCTAACAGTAATAAAAACACAGCTTCCTAGTACCCAAATGTCCTTGGGTCAAGTAAATCAAGTGAAGTCATTGGATCTGTAATTCTGTTTGCTTATCCATTTGCCAGAAAAAGCAGAACATACAGAGACCTCATATTTTTTTGTTGTATATCATTCTACATTTACATCATTGCTAACATAAATAAAACACAAAACAGCTTTTAGAAATAGAGCCAAGATAGTAATGTGACTGTACAGTGAGGTTTTCTTCAATCTCTTGACTCTGTTTGTCCCTATTCTGTGCATTTTATTATGTTTGCCTGAACATGTTTTACCCGTGAGTATTTTGGTATAACTAAATGCTTCACTTACCCTTCCAGAGTCTTCCAGAGTAATGTGAAGGTTTCAGATATTGGCCCTGGATTGTGGAAAGACAACTCTGTAGCTATCTGTTTGGTATTTGTGGGTTCAACACAGTGCTTAAATTTCATTAAAATTTCCATTTATCACAAACACTAAATCCACTTAGAAATAAAGAAAAGATTTCCTTTGGAGACTTTGCTTTCAGTTCAAACACTAAATCCACTTAGAAATAAAGAAAATATTTCCTTTGGAGACTTTGCTTTTAGTTCGGACCACAACATTTAAAATTTATGAAGCTGAAGGAAGTGATGGCAATGAGAACATGACTTCTGCCTGCCAACTCTGTAAACACCTGACACTGGGAACAGCAGAGCTATTTGAGGGGTTTGTCAACAGCACAAGTTTCCTTCCAGTAGATAACAGTGTGCAATGGTCCATCTGTTGGCACTGTCCTGTTATATCAGCTCTTGTGTGCTGGTGCTTTACTCTCACATACATCTTTTTCTGCTGAATGATGTCTTTAATTATTATTGCATTGACAGCTGTGAACCCTGCTGACCTGTGCCTTTCCTCCCCACAGGGAGGATAGTGCTGTCTACCTGTCAGGCCTGGGAACCATGGGGCTGGAGGTATACGAGCAGGTGCCAAAGCTGGACGCAGTGATTTTCCCTGCAGGAGGCCACTGTGGCTTGCTGGCAGGGTCAGCTGCTGCACTCAAACACCTCAACCCACATATTTCTGTAATTGTAAGTTTCCTTTCACCTACTAAGTGTTGTATCTGGGCAGCTTTCACCACAACTATTGTCAAAAGATACTGATATCTAGTGATAACACTGTACTGGTATCTAGTGATGCACTGGCAGACACTGCATGTGCTGGGGACAGGGACTGTCTGATCCCATGGGCTTTGCCTAGGAGAAGAGCCTCTGAGAGCCTGGGAAGTTCCTGTCCCTTGGCTGCTTAGCTGGATTTAACAAAAAAATGTGGGGAGGCTTTTCCAAAGCAAATGAAATACAGTTCTGTGTTTTGAAATAACTTTTTCTGGAAAAACTTGGTCCTAAATAAGCCACAGAATAAGTTTAGTGGTAGCACAGTTGTTATGCAACTTGAAATTAATTGTTAATTTGAAGAGAACATATTCTGTAGCTTTTTGGTGTCTGCTTTGGTGGTAACTTGTTATAACTGGTTCAATAAAAAAGTAACAATACTTGTCTTCTTCAGGGGGTTGAATCTGAAAATTTCCCTGTATTGCAACAGTCCTTAAAGGCTGGCCACCCAGCTGAAGACCAGGCCTGCAGCAACCATCATTTTTATGGAGGTGAGAAATGCATTACTCTTTCGGAGCTTTATAAAGGTTGTAACAGATTTCTCCAACTAGCTTATTTTCTCATTAATTCAGTTCAAACATATTTTAAGGGAAACCTCCTAAGAGTCAGAATTTAGTTGAAGATGTAAGAGCAACTTCTGCCACATTTTCTTCCACCACCTCCCTGGGGTACAATGCTATTTCCAGTCCACATGAATAATTAGAAATATGAGAGTATTTTTCTGAGCATTGTGTTCACAAGCAGCATCTAAACCAGTGAAGTCAAGAGGAAAGCTCTCATGGAAAAGACTGATCTGTGAAAAGACAGGAAAATGCAGTGTTTAAATATTTGTACACACAAAACTGTTTTTGGAACAACAGTGTTTGTGACTGGTGCAGTTCTATCCACATCATTTGCTCAAAAGGCCTCAACTGTTAAGAAATTTAAGAACATCCTATTTACCTGATGTTCAAATCTCTGGAAGTTTTGAGTTAAATGTAAGTTTTATAGAAAACTTTTATCTCTCTCAGAAAGCTCTGCCTGTCTCTGCACTTCTTTGCCAACTGTCCTGCTGTAGCTAGCAAGCCCTGTGCCATGCTTGGGTCTTGTATCCTTCAAGTCTTATTGAACAGTGAAAAGCACTGGGCTGCAGGGTCACTCTCACAGTGCAACAATGCCAGTGAAGTGTCAGAATTTTCTTAAAGAGGTCCAAAATGACAAAACCTTCCTGTGAGATTTGGTCTTTCATTACCAAATTCATTTCTGTCGTATGAAAAAAGATTAAGCAACTTAAGGTCATATAACAGCAGTGTGCTGCACTCACCAAGGACACAAACCAGCCAGGACTCTAAAAAATGTTGAATATGTTGAATAAAGAAGCCAGCTTCATATTTTTGTCTTTTAAAATCTGCAGATGTGAGTGGACTCGGCTTTGGCATCAATTCTTTGCAGCTGACTGGGAAACTTGTGGATAAAGTTGTTGCTGTGAGGTAGGTGAAGAAGAACAGTGAAAAGAACACTGGATGAACATGAAAAATGTGCTGTACCACCAGGGTATGGTGGTTCTGCATGTGCAGTGGAGAGCAGGTTGGCAGGAGCTGCCATCATGCACATGGTGTGAGAGCATGGGGATGGGGTACCTTTCCTTCCCAGAGGAGAAGGAACATTGAACCCAATCCCACATATCATAGAATCATAGAATATCTCATACTGGAAGACACCCATGAAGGGTCATCAAGTCCAACTCCCTGCTCCTTGCAGGACTACCTAAAACTAATGGTATCACCAGAAGTGTTGTCCAGACTGACCCCTTGGGCAAAACTTCACTGGCTGCTAGCACTTGGTCATGTTCTGGATGTAAATCTTGTCCTTGTTGTGTTCTACAACACTTGAAGAAAGCCCTGAACAAAAGTCTCCTAAATCTTCACAGAAAGGCCAGGTTGGTGAAATATACTTATGGATTTAGTTAACATTTCTAATAAAAAAAGCCATCCTGTCTTTCAGTTAATAGTGAGACTGAGATGTTCATTCATTCCCAGCAGTGCAATGTTTTGTAACACCACCTTGGCATCATATGAACCTGGGAGGATGGAAAGAATCCAGTTATACATAAATGTATTATCTTCTGCTTTTGGTAGCTGTTTTGATTTGATTTGTTTTGGCACAACTCTCTTGCTTTCAGGGAGGAGGACATCCTCATTTCGATGCTGAGGTTGCTGGAGTACGAGCGAGCCACAGTTGATGCAGAAGGGGCCATTGGACTTGCAGCATTGGTGGCAGGGAAGCTGCCTGAGTTGAAGGGTAAAAGGTACAGCAGCTCTTGCAAACAGGGAACCATGGCAAAAGCATGGGATTGAGCAACTTGGTCCCAGAAAACTGAAAAGCTACTTGTTTTATGAGTGACAAGACAGTTCCTGCCCCTGAACTGGAAACAGGCTTATCACTGGTATATACTTCAGGCTGAATAGACCACTCACAGGTCATAACACCATGTTGAACAAGGCAAATGCCACCCTGAAGACCTGACAAATTGTGTCATTTTCCTGTATTCTCAAGTGGCTGGGGGAAAGGCAGTTATGCACAGCTCAATGATGCATGGTCACATCTGCCAGGACAGTATCCTACCCTTGCCTCCTCTCATTCCACTTCTGGAAACCAGCTCTGTCTGTGGTGGGATAGAAGCTAGGCTTCTATCTTGTCACCCAGTGGCACCTGCCTCCCAGCTCTGAGAACTGTCCACATAGTGGGATTATCCTTGTGCTTAGTGTTGAACGTGTGGGTAAGTGCTGCTTTGTCTCTCAGCCTGAGGACTCAGGACTTAAGCGGATTTAGCATAGTATCAGGACATAGTCCAGAATGTATTTAAACATACATGCCCTCAAGACAAAATAAAATTCCAGTGTGCAGGCTTGTACACTAAAATACTGCTGAGACAATTCTTTAGATGAGGCTGACGAAGTACATATGGAGCAGCAACACATTTCATAGAATCATAGAATCAACCAGGTTGGAAAAGACCTCAAAGACCACCAAGTCCAATCCTACCCTGGTTACTAGACCATGGCACTAAGTGCCACATCCAGTCTCATCTTGAAAACCTCCAGGGATGGTAAATCCACCACCTCCCTGGGCAGCACATTCCAACGCCTGATAACTCTCTCTCCATAAAAAATCTCTTCCTAATATCCAACCTAACCCTCCCCTGGCAGAGCTTGAGTCTGTGCCCTCTTGTCCTCCTGCTGGTTGCCTGCAAGAAGAGACCAACCCCCACCTGACTACAACCTCCTGTCAGGGAGTTGTAGAGGGTGAGAAGGTCTCCCCTGAGTCTCCTCTTCTCCAGGCTAAACACCCCCAGCTCCCTCAGCCTCTCCTCATGACACTTGTGCTCAGGTCCCTTCACCAGCCTCGTTGCTCTTCTCTGGACCTGCTCCAGCACCTCAATATCCTTCCTGAACTGAGGGGCCCAGAACTGCACACAGTGCTCAAGGTGTGGCCTCACCAGCACCGAGTACAGGGGCAGGATACACATATATTGATGGGAGGTTCTAGCAGATGTTAAGCTAATATTGAATACAGTGTCTGTGATTTGCAGTTCCTTTACACAGACAAGTGCTAGTCAAAACTCACTTTTTTTTTCTGTTTTCAGAGTGGCAGTTGTTATATGCAGTGGAAACTTGGAATTACATTTGCTGCAACAGTGCATAGCTCGTGCCCTGACCCTCGATAACAGAGTGTGCAGATTTTCCCTTGTGCTTTCCGACTGCCCAGGAGACATGTCAAAGCTACTGGAGATTTTGGCTCGGGAAGAAGCAAGGTAAATCAGACTAATAGTAGGGAAATATAATCACAGAATAGCACAAAGATTATTAAAGATTTGGAAATGTTTCCAAATGTTGTCTGAAGACAAGTCTGTAAGTAACTAATTAATCAAATCTTTATTTCTTGTTATATTTCAGAAATGTTTTTGTTTTCTTCATTTTTGTTCCAATCTAAAAGCACCTTTGTAGTGTAGAATTGTGTCTAACTCAGAAAGAAGCAAAGATAGTTACCATACAAACTCTTACAGAAACTATTTTGCAATGATGGGATTGTTTTGATCTCTAACTTGTCCCTTACTTCATGTAGAGTTTTGGATATCAAACAAGAACGCACATTTGTGATGTCTGAGCTCTTCACGGTCGAGGTAAGATGAGATGCAATTTTAGTTCCTCTAGTAGTATTGGCCTCCCCTAGTTATTCTGTTTCCCTATATGACTTTATGCCTATGCTAAGTAAGTCGAATAGAGTGTGCACGGTGATTTGGTGAGCAGTGTGAGATATAATTTCTTCTTTGTTATACAACATCTTGCCAAACACTTAGCAAGCGTATAAATAACACAGGACCAGTTTTACTGGCTGTTGTGACACCCTGGGTGAAATACTCCAGGTGTTGTATTGCACTGTGACTCTTGCAAACCCTCTTTGCCTGCGTGGCAGTGTGCCAGAGGTGGTAAACAAGCTGCAGCATCCATCCAGAACTTGAAGAGCCAGCTGTGTAGGCTGACTGTAATTGTCTGAGATGTCAGGCTTAAAGCAATGTGGCAAACACCCATACTCTTAAGGAATCCTTGTTTTTAAGTATGGGCTCAGTTCTGTTCCTTATCCACAAAGAGCATAGAATAAAATCATTATTTCTTTGTTGAGTCCTGGATACAGTAAGAGTGAAGAGGTGTTAGCAGTTAATGGCATCTCTCAAAAGAACCATTTGTCTCAAGGCATATCTCTTATTTCAACTGGTTTGGCAAAGGTGTGGTCCTACTTAATTTATGCTACCGCTGTCCAAGTCCAACCTAACTTAGTTTGTGAAACCACAGGTGGAAGTCAAATTAGGGATGATTGCTACAGCTCATGACTGGGATTCAGTAATGTTACTGAGTAAGCAAGTTCTTTGATTTTGGCCTTTAAATCTAATTTCCCATCTGGATGCAAAAACGTGCTTAATATTTTCACTTGTGGATACAAAAAAAAAGATGTAGCAAGAATACAATGAAGTTAGTGAACATCTTTCTGAACATGATATCATCATTTTTCTCAAGCATCTAGGACCAAAATTCCATTGTTCTGCAATATGCCATAATGATAGGCCAGCTTAGTGCTCTGGATAACTTGGAGCTAACATGACACCACATGGGGTAGACAAATCCCTCTGAC